TCCCCTGTCCCTGCAGCCTGCCCTCATCCTCCAGCCTTTCCTCATTCTCCCCTTGCTCCTCTCCCCTCTGCTTCTTACCCTCCTGCTCCTCTCCCTGCCTTCTCCCTCCATCCCTGTCCCCCAACCTTTTCCCTCACATTTTTCTCCTCATCCCTCCCTATTTTTTCCTGTGGCTGTTTCACCCATTCATTTTATCCCCATCCGTTTCCCCCATCCCTTTTCCCATCCCTTTTCCCATCCCTTTCCCCATCCTTTCCCCATCCCTTTCCCATCCTTTTCTCATTCCTTTCCCATCCTTTTTCCATTCCCTTTCCCATCCCTTTCCCCCCATTGCATCCTTTTTCTATCCCTTCTCCCATCCCTTTCCCCCATCCATTTCCCATCCCTTTTCTTATCCCTTTCCCCCAGTCCTTTTCCCCATCCCATTCCGTTCCCATCCCTTTCCAATCCTTTTCCTATCCCTTTCCCCATCCCTTTTCCCATCCATTTCCCCATCCCTTTTCCCATCCCTTTCCATCCTTTTCCCATCCCTTTCCCCATCCCTTTCCCGCCCTTTCCCATCCTTTTCCCATCCCTTTCCCAATCCTTTTCCAATCCCTTTCCCATCCTTTCCCCATTCCTTTCCCATCCTTTTCCCATCCCTTTCCCAATCCTTTTCCAATCCCTTTCCCATCCTTTCCCCATCCTTTTCCCCATCCTTTTCCATCCCTTTCCCAATCCTTTCCCATCCTTTTCCCAATCCCTTTCCTCTCCCCGCTCCCGCCGACTCCGGGCAGCGCCCGCTCCAACATCGCCACCTGGCGGCCGCCTCGGGAGCTGCAGCGCGTCCCCGCGGGCCGGGTCGGGGGACACAGCGGTGACACGGGGGGGACACGGCGGTGACACGGCGGGGACACGGCCGGTCAGGGTGCGGACACCGCCAGGAGGACGCTGAGGAGTGCAGGGTGAGGCACCGGGGGGATCACGGCACCCCTTGGCTCCCCTCGCTGAGTCGTGCCCGGCCTCAGCCCTCGCTGCCCCCCGGGATGAGCACGGAGGGTGCCCAGACCCCTCGGCTCCTTATTCCCACACGCATTCCCCCTACAATTAGCACATGCTCTTTAATTAATTTTCCTCTTTTATTGCTCCGCCCGAGTTATCTCGACTCCGGCGCCGTTCTCGTGCGCTGGGCGGATATCGCTGCTATTTGTGGCGTTCCCTGTCGATGCTGCGGCTCGGGAGGCCAAGAGGGCCACCTTCCCTCTTCGGGGCCGCATCCTGTTCTCAGGGACAGCCCCGGGACCTGCCAGAGCTCAGGAATTGTCTGTCCTGGTCCCCGTTCTCGTCCCCATCGCTCCCCGGCTCGGTTTGGCAAGCGGCAGCTTTTCCCCAAACTCCTGAGTTGGGCAAACCCTCCTGGCCACAACCATGGCACTGCGATGTTCCGAGGGAAAACGGAGCTGAATCAGGCATCAAACCTGTCTTGGATGAGCTGTTAAAGATGGAAACATTCTGAACACCACAGGAAGAGGGGGAAAAAAAAACCCCAAGAGCTCCTGAGGGTGCTGCCAGCAAAAAAGGGCTGTGAGGTGAGCAAGGAAAGGATGTCCCCAAAACCTCAYGCCATRGGAGGCACAGGGATGTGACAGAGGRCACAAAAACCAGCTGARGCAGAGACGAATTTGAGCCATCACCCCCATGCGAGCACCAGGGATGGGGTGACCACCTCAGGCAGCTTCCAACTGCAGCTCTGAGCTGCACAGAAATCCATCTTTCTGCCTTCAAAATGCTTTCCCCCGTTTAAARTAATCATTACCAATAAACAAATACAGCAGCCAGCGTATATAAGCATCAAATTAAGTAGCTACATGCATTTGTTATGTTTGATATAGCCTTGTTAACTGGAAATTCCCAGGTTTGGAATATGTATTGATTTCAGCAAACATATATTATTTTACTGTAAGTACCAGTAGCCATTGTAGTTAATATACAACAGTTTAATTTAAAATGCATTAGTTTAATAAAAATGCATAAAACAGAAGGGAATTGCATTAGCTTCAATAAAAAAAAATTCAATTTCATAAATATTATCCAGCGTTAAAATGCATTGATTTCCTGGGAAAACGTATCGGTCAGAGGTAATTTACATTGGTTTGGATGGGAGCGTCCCGGAGTGTATACATATGTATTAGTTTAGTCAAATGTGTCTGATCACAGAAAAAAAAAAAATACCGGAGCGAAGGATATTCACAAGGAACCGGTGCGGAGCGAGGGGCGGTTCGGGCTGGCTCTGGAGCACCCCGGTGATCTGGACACCCCCAAATCAGCCTCGGGGGTACCGGGGCGCTGCCGGGATCCCCGGGAGCCCTTATCGGCACCGGGCAGGCCCCGGCAGAGCGCGCACCCGGCGCGGAGCCGGGGTTAATCAAATCCTTTTGACTCCATTTTTTATCGAGCTCAAGAGGGGCTGGCCTATTAATTAGAAAGGCTTTTTCATGTAAAACACAGGCTCTTTTGCAGATAAGAAGGGACGATGCTTGATTTTGCCGCGGCGCGGATGCGTGCGTTGCTCCTCGACATCCATTCACGGCTGCAGCCGCTTTCCTGCAACCCTTTTGTTCGCTACGGGGCTCCRGAGGCGGATTTGTGCACACAGACGTATTTAAAGAGCTCAGATTTTCCCGGGAGCCAGCGAGCCCCCCAAAATCCACAGCAGGAGAAGGATAGGGCGGGCCTGGAGGCGCTTCCATCTGCAGGAGCCGGCCCGTGCAGCGCAGAGGATTTGGGCTGACAGCGATAAGTGAGCAGTGGGGCAGATGCATCGTCTTAAAAACGACAGCAGAAACCCAGGGTGCCATCTGCACCCCATCCCTACCCCGATTTCTGTGCCCCTCTTGGCATCGCCGACCCCTCGAAGCCCCGAGCCACCGCCTCACCCCAACCTCAACCTTGGCAGCGCCGGGGAGAGACCCAAGCCTGGCCTTTTCCAGGCTGGGCAGGTAAAAAAAAAGGTTATTCCTGAAAAAATAACATCCTGGGAGATCTCCCCAGCTCCAGGGCTTCCTCCCACGCTGCCGGCCGTGCCCCAGCCCGGACACGGAGCCGGGCACGGGCAGCGCCCAGGCGGCGCCGGTGGCTCCAGGGCCGAGCAGCCCTGTGGAAACCACCACACATCACTTCCCTGATGCTTATGGATTTTTCCTTAATGCCACAAATTAAGGTAATTGGGCTCGGCTTGGCCCGATGAATCCGGCTGAACTTGGCAGCAGGAGGGACCCGGCCGTGCTGAGATTGATCCCCCTCATCCCCGGCCCATGCTCTGCCCCCGCGGCTCTTTCYCCTGCCCTTCTGCTCGCACAGACCCCAAACCGCATCCTGAAATCCCTTCCCTGAGCGGCAGCTCCATCCGGACGAGATGATCATTCCCGGATCAGGAGTTTTTCTCCTCTCCAGGCACTTTTCCCGGCACATTTCCCCGCTGCCTACTGAAATCCTCCCCGTAAATGCCATCCCCGCTGGCTCGGGGMGGGCGGCGAGTGCCAGGGATTAAAMACGRTATTTGTGACCTCCGGGAGARCAAGGGCAGCGTCTGGGCAGAGCCCGGAGTTCCAGGGATCCGGTTTCACAATCCCTTTTGTTCCCAGCCCTCCCCTCTCGCCCACCGCCCTCCTCGGAACGCAGAGGGGACAATGCCGGGCACCGAGGCCACCAGGCCACCGCCACCGAGCCATGGCCATGCCAGGCACCTCATTGTGGGGCTGATGGGCTGCCAGCAYCATTGTCACCCCAGCGTGGCCGTGCATCCTCCTCCGGTCCCCTCCCGGGCAAGGCGACAGGGAGGGGAGATAAAACCAACAGGCTAAAAATAYCCAAGACAAAAGGGAACCATCAAGACCCCGCTCCTGGCAGCCTCCAGAGCTGCTCCGCAAGGGCAGCAGACACGGAGGGGTTTTGCGGGATTGCTGCCTGCCTTTCTGCCCGTGGATTCCTTGGMTCTCGCTGCGGGAATGCCGAGCGGAGTGCCCGGGCAGCGCCAGGGTGGAGAGAGTTAAATGCGTGTGTCCCACCGGGACCAGGGCGAGCAAATGTTCGGCTTAACTGGGTGACAGGTGCCTCAGGGCAGGGTGACACATGAGAGAGCGGCCCTTGGTGCCCGCCCGGCTCTGGGGGAGCTCAGCATCCCCCTCCGGCCTCTCCACAGCGCTCCGGGATGGGGCTGCAGCGCTGTGTGGGACAGGATGAGCAGGCATCCTGCTCCTGGAGCATCCCAAAGGAGGCGATCCCAGCGCAGGGAGGTTCCTCTGCCTCCGGCTGTGCCCTGCCACCGCTGCGACGGGAGCTCTGAGAGATGCCTGGAAGCTCCAAGGAAAAAAAAAAAACCATCCACATCCCAAAACTTGCGGGATTGTAGCGGGGAGGGTCCCCTGGGGCCAACCCCTCCCTCTCCGCTGTCCCAGGCGCCATCCCGAGTGACAAAGGCAGGTGGGATTGTTCCCGTGCGGAGCCGGGTCAGCATCCCCCGGGTGCGAGCTGGGGGCCACCCGGCGCTTCGTTAACCTTGAAACCCTGCCGGGCTCACATGTCACGTCAGCCGGTGACAACAACAAGCTGCTATTCCAGATTAGAGGGAGAGGGAGGGACGGGGAAAGGCAGAGACAACAGGGCTGGGGGCAGCCAATTTACCTATTACAGCCAAAAGTGGGCATGGGGCTATTTTTAACCCCGAGGGGGGTGTATTTATTGTTGAGCCGGGGGGAGCGAGGGAGTGCCTCCGGGACACCCCTCGGCAGCTGAGCAGAGCCATGGTGAGTACCCAGAGCCCAAAGCTCCAGCGGGAAGAGACAAAAGCCTTCAGATTTTTCAGCAGAACGGTTTTAACGAGCAGGGAGAGATGGAGGCAACAGGGAGTTGAGGGTCAAAGGGTCTTTTCTGCCCTGGAAAGGGGGTGAGAAAATTGGGGARCATCTGGCTGCATCAGCAGCATGCCAAAGAGAACCGAGAGGTGTCTCCCTTGCTAGCAGTGCTTTTGAGTGTGGGCAGAGTGTTTTGGGGTACAAATGCCATTTTTCTCCTTTCCATCCTTCATGCAGCGAGAGAAAGGGCCGTTTTGTCCCCCAAAACCCTCCTCATGACCGAGGAGGAAACGGCTGCAGGAGCGAGCGCTGGAATGAGGGATGGGCAGGATGGGACACTGAGGGACCCTTCAGTCCTCTTTAAAACACACATTGACCCATTTCTGGTCGTTCCAAGCCTCCGTGCAGGAGGAGGCAGATTTTTAATTAAGGCACATTTTAATATCTGTAGAGCAGGGTAGAAAAGCACTGAGTGAGCACAGCCCTCGTGTGCAGCCTCAGCAATGCTCCCAAAACCGGAGGAGTCCCAGTGCTGACCCTTTTACCTGCAGCTGGGAGAAGTGATTTCACTCCTTTCCTTCCACCTATTTGGCTAAATTCACCGGGAGCTGTAATTTCAGCAGGAATCTTAACACCCCAGAGCCCCAGGGAAGAGAGCCCCAGCCCAGGAGTCTGTAAGAACAGAACAGTTTCACGCTTTTATTCCACCCCATAAAAAGCTGGTGAGTTAATGGCACATACTCGGACCCCTGCAGGCTCCCAAGAAAGCCAAGAAGAGGATTGAAGGTGCAAATTCCAACGTCTTCTCCATGTTCGAGCAGGCCCAGATCCAGGAATTCAAAGAGGTAGGGTGGGTTTGGTGAGAAGGACCGAAGGTCCTTGACGGGATGTGACCTTCAGCTCTTTCCTTGGGGCTCTCAAGAGACAGCTGGTTCACACCAGGAGGTGGCATGCCCAGGTTTGGGGAGTTTTGTTTTAAAAGTGAGAATAACAGCTYGGTGACAAAATTTGATGTTAAATCCTGCATTGCCTCCGATCTTCCGAGGAGCCCTCGTCCCAGGAGGAGCTGGGAAACATCTCCCAGCTCTCACCCCTGCATGGCAGGCACGTGGATCTGAGCAGGATTCTGGTCCCAGATTCTGGTCTCCTCCCAGCTGGAGGAGTTGGTGGCTCTGTCCTGGTCTCACCCTGGGGTGAAAGTGCAGGGATTGTGGGGTTTGGGTTGCCATCGCCCCAGGGTGCAGGGCTGGGCTGGATTAGGGTAAAGCCCCTAGAACCCGTCCTGGGAGGGCTCAAAACACCCCTATTCCATCCACACTAAAGGGAGAAGGAAAAAGGCATTCAAGGCTGACAATTCCCCCTTTCCCTGCACTCCCTGCCCTCCTCCTGTGCTTCCAGGCATTCACCATCATGGATCAGAACCGGGATGGCTTCATCGACAAGGCAGATCTGAGAGACACCTTTGCTGCCCTCGGTGAGGCCCCTTCTGCAGCCTCCCCACCCCAGCAGCTTTGCCAAAATTAGACTCATTMATTGGTGAAATTAATGAGGGGGGTGTCCCCATTTAACCAAGCCCCTGCCATGRACTGAATCTCCCATTTTGCTAAAAYTCTCCTGATCTGAACCCRAGCCYGTCAGCCCRGGAGATCCCGCAYGGGTGACCCSGAGCAGCTCCCACAGCAGCGCTGCTTTATCCCGCTGGCACCAGAGGCAGATCCTGGACTCCACAGCCAAACATTCCCTGCCTTTCCCGTGCTCAGAAGCACCTGGCTGTGCCCATCCCACGGCATCCCAGCGGGGTGTGGGCATTAAGGGGATTTAGGGGATTTAGGGGAGGCTGTGACGCCGCGAGTTTGGCGGGGTCAGCGTGAATCAGCAACGGGGCTCGGGAATTCCAAGGACAACCCAACCTCAGGAGAAAGGAGGCAGGCATTCAGTCCCGTTTGCTTCTGGTGCTGGGGGACAGGGAGAACCCCAGATCCAAAACACTTCCAAGGAGGGSTGGAGCAGGTGGGGCAGTGAGGGAAGGAAGCAGCACAGCTCAGTCCTTCCCATCCCGCTTTTCTGTGATCCCGGAGCCTGAGGAGGCAGAGCTGGAGATGATTCTCCCACCTCACTCCCATTCCTTGCCAGAGGTGGCTCCCCAGGGATGTGTCCCTTCCCTCCAGCTGGATAAAACCCCCAGGGAAGGGTCCTGGTGTGTATTTTAGCCCCCAGCACACAGAGCTCGGCACAGACCCACGATTGACCCAAAGCTGCTCTCCCCAGGGCGCCTGAACGTGAAAAACGAGGAGATYGACGAGATGATAAAGGAGGCACCGGGCCCCATCAACTTCACCGTGTTCCTCACCATGTTTGGGGAGAAGCTCAAGGGTGAGAGGGCCCTGGGGGGCTGGGGAGTGGTCAGTGGCATCCCTGTGCCCCAAAATTCCTGCTGATTTGTGACCCCAACTGTCCCTAAGCCCTTAGATCTGGAGCTCATCCCACATTTCCCCAACCTGCTGGGGGGTATGAGAGGGTCTCCGTGCCTCAGTTTCCCCAGTCATTACAAAACCTAAATGCCACGCTGCTGCTGTCCCTGTAGGAAAAGGGGAYAGGAGCTCTTGCAGCACCTCGGAGCTGCTGTGGTCATCAGTGCCACCAGTGGTCACTCTGGCTACAGCCAGAACTGGACCCATCACCCCATCCAGCTGCACCCCAAATCAAAAACACTCAACCCAAGGAATGCAGCCTCCTGCSGATCTCCAAGGTCTTCCAGGGCCCCAGGGGCTGTGCCTGGAGCTCTATAAATACACTCCAAAGATTAGATAAACGCCGGATGCCGGAGCGGTGGCGGCACCGCCTGCTCCGTGCTCACACCACGACCCTGCTGCTGTCCCTCTACATGCCACCAACCTCACTCAAGTTTCCAGCTGTGGGGTCAGCATCCTGCAGGGACCCCGCTTTCCAGGCTGCCCCCCATCTTCCCCCCAAGGCTGTGGGGAGCAGCAGGCTGCAGCTGCCTTCCTGCTTCACTGTCTCCAACATCCATGGCTCTGTCACCCGCAGGYGCTGACCCGGAGGAGACGATCCTGAATGCGTTCAAGGTGTTTGACCCCGAGGGGAAAGGCCTGAAATCTGCCTAGTGAGTGCAGGGGTGCCTGGGGGTGAGGGGGAATGTCCCCATGAGGGCCCCCCCAGCGTTCACTGTGCTCTCTCGTTCGCAGCATCAAAGAAATGCTGATGACACAGGGAGAGAGGTTTTCCCAGGAAGAGGTACGAGCTCCTTTSCACCCTCTGCCATCCTCCCGTGCCCTCCATCCCAATAAGCCCCATCAATTCTCCCAGCCCCAGTCCCAAACCCTTTCCATGACACATTTTCAGATCGATCAGATGTTCGCTGCCTTCCCTCCGGACATGTCGGGCAATCTGGACTACAAGAACCTGGTCCATGTCATCACTCACGGCGAAGAGAAGGACTAGGGCTGGCTCAGGGCTGGGGCTGGCACTGCAAAATCACCTCTGCCCAGGTCACASGGGGGTTTCCCTTTCCTCTTCCCCCGGAGAGGCACGGGAATGGGGATTTGGCACGGGAATGGCATCCACATTAAACTGCCCTTTGGCAAGAGGAAACGCAGCTGTTGGTGTGAGCAGTGCTTGGGCTCGTGTGGTGTCCCTGAGCCCCATGGCAGCCCTTGGGTGTCCCAAACATACAGATCATCACCCTGATGTGCCCTTGAGTCCCTCTGCCTCGCTGCCTGCCACTCCCAGTCCCAACCAGCCTGTCCCCACCCGGTCCCACAGCCCAGGGCCAGCACTGAGCTTGGATTCACCTCAGCAGCAGCGAGTTGTCACCTTCCGCCAGTTTGGCAGGGAGCACCCCGTGAGCACACTCACCATCCCCTGTACCCCACCTGCCCTGGGGCACAGTGCAGGACTGGCACCGAGGTCCCCATGTCCCCGAGGTCCCCATGTCCGGCTGGGCAGWGTGACAGGGATGTCACCCCCCGGTAGAGCAGCTGATCCCGCCCCCAGCTGCGGGCGCTGTCAGCAYTGGGTGAATTCATGCCAAAACAAAAAATCATCTTGCAGCCTGTGGAAGGCGCTGGGCTCCTTCCAGAGGAGGGAGATGGAATGAGGTGCGGGGCGCAGGAGCTCCGGAATGAAACTGCTTCTTTAATCCGTCTCTGACGGGCTCCTCGATGTCAGCCTCCTCCTCCTCCTGCCCGAGCTGGAGGGCCGTGTCTGCTCYTCCTCCTGCCTCTGGAGGATGAGCTGGCGCAGCTCCTCCCGGCCCAGCGGCACTTCCCCTGCCCGAGAGAGCGGCCACCCCATCATACACACATTCACAGCCCCCATACACGCGGTGGGGCAGGGAAGGGTTGTTGGGATTAATTGGGAAGGGTATGGGGTTGGCCGGACAGCGGCCGTTCCTCAATTCCCCCGTGRCTGCCCCGCTCTCTGCTCACCGGTCTTGGGGTCAGCCGTGTCCAGGTCGGGGGGTGCYGGGCACAGCTTGGTCCGGTCCATGACCCACAGGAGCTCCGAGGTTCCCTGCAGGGGGCTGACAAAGGCTTTGGAGCGCTCCTCACGGTCCACGGATGTGTAGCGCAGCAGGGAYTCCCTCAGCAGGAATTCCTTGATCTTATCCTCCACGGGACCTGGGTGGCAAGGAGGACGATGTCCCGCAGTGTCCCACATTGTCCCCACGCCAGGACCCTGCCCAAACCCACCCTGGCAAGGTTGGGTCACGGAATTGTGGAATCACAGTTATTAAGGTTGGAAAAAAATCCTCCAAGATCACCAAGCCCAACCTTCAAATGAATATCCCCACACCTGCCAAACCACACAGTGAAGTGATAAATCCCCTTTATTTCTGGAACACTTCAAGGATGGTGACTCCACCACCTCCCTGGGGAGCCCATTCCAGTGCTCCACCACTGTTTCAGTGAAGAAATTTTTCCTGATATCCAACCTGGACCTCCCCCAGTGCAATTCCCCTCATCCTCTTGCTGGCTGCCTRGGAGAAGAGGCCAACYCCCACCTCGCTTCAACTCCCAGAGCCAAGATAAGGATTTGGGATTTTTACATCCAGCTTAGCTCCCGAATTCGCTGGGAATTTGGTGCTGTAAATTCACCTTGGGGACACCCACAGCTGATGGGGCAGGGGCAAACAAAAGCTCAGTTAAAACACAGCACGAGTGGGCAGTGGAGAGCCCTGACCTACCAAAAACTGGCACCAAGCTCTGCCCAAGAGGCTTCACCATCTTCGAGGTGTCRCAGTCCAGGTCCTTCAGGAGGGTCTCCATGCGGGATTGGACCTGTCCCAGGATTTTGCTGCTCTCTTTGCATTTATTTTCGTACCAGTTGGCTTCCTCGGTGGTCTTTGTTAGTTTTTTCTGTCAGCAAAGGTTTTGTCGGGTGTCACAGCAGCCCCGCCCTGATCCCACCACCCCAAAGCTGCAAAGTTTCAGTCACAGAGTTTTCAGAATCACAGGATGGAAAGGACCACAGTGGGTCAGGTGATCCAACCTCTGCCCAGGCAGGGCTATCCCAGAGCACAGGATGGTGTCCAGAAAATTTTTGGGGGATACCCCAAACCCTCTCTGAGCAGACTGATCCAGGGTTTGGCCACCCCCACAGAGCTCTTAAAACACGAAATAAAGGACACAGCCCAGGAGAGGCTGTGGGATGCTGCCACCCCTGCAGGAACAGGCTCTGTGAAGGGCATCCCAAACCCCCCAGGGCTGGCAGGATCCCCCAGCCACCCTCTCACCACGCACTCAGATCTGCTCAAACCTTTGCAGGGMCCTTTTCTGCCCACACCTCTCCAGCCGCTGGACAGAGGAGCAGTGCTGGGACATACAAGGATGTGCTGCTCTTCCCGAGGGAATTCACGGCCGCCGTACCTCCAGATCCTGCAGGACTTCAGTCCGGGTCGCCTCCGCCTGCTCCTGCTCCGCTGTGGTGGACACCATATCGTCCTGCGGGGACACAAACACGCCGAGGGGGCGATGGAATGCCTGCCTGACGTGCCACATGGACATTCCTCAGCCCAGGGAGCAGGGAGATGGCCAGGCGGAGAGGGCAGGGCATGGATAACCCCGCTCCAGGCTGGAGGAACGCTGCATTATTTGTGCTGGGTACACGGTGGCAGCATTGAGACGCGTTATTCTCCTTTGCAGGAGWATAAAAAGAGTGAAGGGAGAAAGAGAGGAATGTTTGTGGCCCCAGTCAGTGCTGCTGACTCAGAACACGGCGCAGTTTCGGCTTTTTTTGTCCCCCCAATCYCACCCGYGTGGCCGGAGCYGGGCTCTGGTCTGGGCAATGATGCYGGACACTCGGACAGGAAAAAACCCACCCCGACCCTAAARCTCTGCCTGGAAAGGGACCCCAAAACCGACCTGGATCTGCTGGATCCTCTGCTGGAGACCCTCAACCCTGACGTTCAGCCTGATRGCATAGCCAAAGAGGATGAAGAACCTCCGGTCCTTTTCSAGGAAATCCTCCAGGAAACTGTCGATGTCTCCATCCGACAGCTCCAGCAGACGCTTGTAGGCCACCTCGTAGGTCTCCTTTTGGCTCCTCTTGGCCCGCTCGGCTGCCTCGAGGGCTGAGGAAGAGACACAGAGCCGTGGCTGCCCTTTGCAGAGCCATCCCTGCGGCGCTGTGGGGTTTGGTGTGGGGCTGGGGGTGCCTCTTCCACCAGGGAACTCAGCAGGAATCTCATGGGAATGGAGGAAACACCATGGGATCCCAGGATAATAGATTGATTACAGTAGATAAGATTAGATCAGAGATTAGGARGAATTCTTCCCCATRAAGGTGGTAAGGCCCTGGCAGAGTGTGCCCAGAGAAACTGTGRSTGCCCCTGGATCTCTGGAAGTGTCCAAGGTCAGGCTGGACAGGGCTAGGAGCAGCTTGGGATAGTGGGAATTGTCCCTGCCCTCACTAGAGCAGTGGAACTGGATAAATTTTAAGGTCCTTTCCAGCCCAAACCATTCTGTGATAAAAGGAGCCGTGGCTGCACACAGGAGCAGCTCCCTGCCCCAGGAACACCCCAAGGCCATCAATCTCACTCTTTTTTTCACTTTTTCTTTTTGCTTGCAGGGTGAAGGCAGGGCAGGGCTCCTGCTTTTGGGGTGCAACCCTACAAACCACCACAAGCAGCCCCTCCACCAGCTCTGCAGATTAGGGGTTTGTGTTCCTGGTCACACACATTCTCCTCTGATACCTTCTCTCGCTTTGGCCTGTTCCTTCAGGTTCGACAGATCCGTGCACTTGGCGAGGAAGAAATTTTTCAGTCTGGTCTCCTGGTAAAGGGCACACTTCCTCTCCAGCATCCTGATGTTGTACTGGATGGTTTCCCTGCAGCGCACTTCCCGAATGTCCGAGATCCGCGCCAGATCGTCCATCCTGCGCAGAGAGCAGCGCTCACCCCCTGTCTGTGGGTTTCTCTCTATTCCTAAACCATTCCTGTGCATCCCCCTGCCAATCCCTGTGATGCTGTGCCCCTTCCCAGCTCTCATCTGGATGGAGATGTTAGCAGCAAACAGCTTTAGGTGGGGTTTTGTCCACCAGCTCAGCTGGGACTCGGAGAAAAGAGGTTTTTCCACAGGGCAATTCACCCCAAAGAAATATCCAAAGAAACATCTTGGACAGGTGGAATAAAACATTTTGGGGGCACCCAGCTTGGCTCAGTCAGTCTCTCTGACTCGCTGGCATCACCCATCAGCCCCAATCTTTGCCCAGATGCCACGTTTTGACAAGATTTGACCTACCACTGCTCGTAGTCCTCAGTGGCTTGCTCGACAGCAGCGGTCAGCAGCTTGTTCTGCCGGACCAGCTTCCTCTCCACCTTCCAGTAGTAATTGTCATAAATGGCTTTGTGGATTTGCAGCCTCACGATCTCCTCCCGGAGCGTGTTGTTCCTGGTCATGATGGTGTTGTAACGCACGGTGACCTGGGGAGAGCAAAGCCCAAGGTTTGGGATTGGTGGGGGATGGAGAGTTCAGGTCTCTGCTTAAAGACCTTGACCAGGGCAAACACAGCCTGAGAGGTTTGGAGCTCTGTCCTCCTCCTCAAAAAGAGAGAAGGTGACACAAAACCAGGTCTGTCACAGCAGAGCCCTGGAGCTGGTGGCTCCAGGCAGCCTGGTTTGATCACAGAGCAGGTGCAGACCTTCAGGCCTCTTGGCACAGCACAGGAGCTGCATTTGGGTCACCCAGCCCGAAGGAGCCTTTGGGATATTCTGGGAATGATCAGGACAGGGGAACAAGCCAGGTGCTTTATGAAGCTTGAGTCAACCAAATCCATTTGCACCACTGTGCTTTGTCCTGTCCAAAAAGGTCACAGACCCCACACGTGCCCTCCAAAAGTCCCCAAAATGTTTCCTTACTTTACTTAGACGCATCTCCAGAATTTCAATCTTCTTCTGCAGGTGTTTGTGACTCCTTGCTTCCAACAACCTCCAGTTTATGTTTCTCTGCTTCACAATCTTTTTTTCCAGCTCTAGGACCTGCACACATGCAAAGGGGAAAAAAAACAAAAACTGGGAAGTAGAATCTCCACCCCTACGTTCTGGACTCTTGTCAGGACCTGGAGCCAAAGAAAACCCCTCTGTTGACCTGAACAATAATGAGCTCACAGTTAGAGGAGCGGCTTTAATCCCGAAGGATCCCATCCTGCACGTGCAGAAACACAAACTGTGACTGGGAATGGGTTTATTTTTGTGTCAGCTGCATTTGGGGGAAATTCTAGCAGGTGTTGAACACTTCAGAGCAGCGCTCTGTGGAGTGAAAGGGGCAGGGAGGATGGGGCTCTGGTGTTGTGCTGGCCAGGCAGGGATCCATGCGGTTCTGGTCGGTAACGAGCAGAGGAAAGCAAAGCTTTTGCCAGAAATGGGGAGATCCAGAGGAAATGAATCCATGGAAGAACGAAGCAGGTGGAGAAGAGCGAAGCAGGGGGCAGGTGGGGGAGGGATGACTCAGGCAAGCAGAGTTATCATCCCTGGCTGAGAGCTAACCCTGTCAGAACACTCTGCAGCAGAGTTCTCATCCCTGGCTGAGAGCTAACCCTGTCAGAACACTCTGCAGCACCTCCAGCAGCTGCAGACGATCCCAGCACGTTCCTGGCTTCCAGCAGGGGCAGCTGCTCACAGCACTGAAGGGACCTGTCCCTTCCATAGACCCACATTTGCCGTGGCCTTCCACCCCACTGCTGTCCAAACCCAACCAGGATGTCCTGGAGAAGGGATGGGACATCCCTCAGATGTTGCTGCTCTTCTACCTCATCTCAGGCAGCGCTGTTCCAGTTTTACCYCTTTTTCAGGAGAWTAAAAAGAGTGAAGGGAGAAAGAGAGGGATGTTTGTGGCCCCAGGTTGAGTCCAACCTCATTTTTCCAGTCAGTGCTGCTGACTCGAGTGGGAACCTGGCTTTGCAATTTGTCATTGGCAGAAGGAACATTCCAAGGCCTGAATTAAATTAATTTTACACTGAGGAGTTTCAGCCACAGCTCTCACTCTGCAGCTGCCCTGCTGTGCTCAGAGAGGGAGCAGTCCCRGTGCTCTCACCTGCTTGACCAGGTCATCCAACTGAGCTTTTCTTTCTTTGATCAAGGCATCATTGTGCATTTTGGTCTGAAAAAGCCTTTCGACCTTCATCCGATTCCTGTTGTCCAGCAACGTATTACTCGGGGAGCAGATCTGGCTCAGCGTTAGTGTCACATGCCTGTGCTCATGCTTCAGATCTGCTATTGCTTTTCTGTAAAAATGGAATGACAAATGACATTTAGCACAGCCCATCAGCCAGGGCAAGTCCTTATCCCTCCCCATCTCTGCACTGCGGTCCCCAGAAGTTTTTATAAAAACAGAGGGAGCAACTTTTTACATGGGATAGGACAAGAAGGAATGGTTTTAAATGGAAGAGGAGAGATTTAGATCAGATGGCACAGGTTGTCAAGWGAAAATGTGGCTGYTCCATCCYTGGAAGTGTCCAAGGCCAGGTTGGACAGGGTTTGGAGCARCCTGGGATAGTGGAAAGTGTCCCTGCCCATGGRATTCTGTAAATCTGTGACCTCGGTGTGGAGGAACTCCCCAAACCCCAGGAGGCCAAGCAGAGCTGTACTCACTCCTGAGCCTGTATCTGCCGCCAGATATCRGCATCGTAAAATCTCCTTTTGTACGCTTCATCATGATAATGGGTCTGCAGCCGCCTGATGGACACTTTAGCCTTCTTGTTCCTCTCCTTCTCAGGCATGTCCGAAGGGTCCTGGTTGGCCGAGGCCTCTCTCCTCTGCCACAGGGAGGGAGGGTTTGCTCACGGTGCCAGTGGGTGAGTGGCATCACCACCTCCTCTCTGGCATCCCTGAGTTATCCATCCCCACMCAAAACACATGGCACTGGCTGAGCTGGACCAGCACCTCAATTCCAGGGCAGGGACAGACCTCTGCCAGTGAGGAGGGCAGGTGACAGGTCCTCTTTTGTCACCAGCACAACAGTGAGGACCACGTGAGTCAGAGCCAGAGCCACTCGTGCTGGGGACATGGATGAATTTTACCCAGCCCAATTTTGCAGCTGATTTTGCCCAGGAGTGGAGTGGAAATGCTCCTATTCCCAACCACGGGAAGGTGACTTTTAGCTGAGAAACTGCCCAACAAGTAAGCACTGAGGGCAGTCAGAACATACAGGTTCTCAGCTGACCCCTGTGCCCCAACTCTGCCCCTCCCAACGCCCAAATCTCAGCCCAGCTCCTGATTTCTGGCACAGGAGGGTGGGCAGAATCAGCCCCATAGCTACCCAATGCCCAAATCTCAGCCCAGCTCCTCATTCCTGGCACAGGAGGGTGGGCAGAATCAGCCCCATAGCTACCCAATGCCCAAATCTCAGCCCAGCTCCTCATTCCTGGCACAGGAGGGTGGGCAGAATCAGCCCCATAGCTACCCAATGCCCAAATCTCAGCCCAGCTCCTCATTCCTGGCACAGGAGGGYGRGCAGAATCAGCCCCACGGTTACCCAGCACTTTGCCATCCTGGCTCCCCTTCCTGGCCGCGTATTTCCACRGGTAATWTCCMCACAGSAGATCCTCCCCAGCCCCTGTGAAGTTCAGTTTCACTTTGCCCTCCTTTTTCACCTTTAAGCCCATCATTTTTCCCCTCTAACTCTGCCGGTGGCTCCGCAGGCGCCTCGGGAAGGGAACGAGTGAAACTCCGCGGGCGCGGGGTCGCTTTCCAAGGGAAGAAACGAAACAGGAGCGATGGGGCGGCCGTGTCCTCCTGCCCATCCCTCAGCACCCGCTCGCGTGTTTGGCACATGAGGAAACCATCACAGATGGCTGCCAGAGGGATAAAAGGAGAGCGTTTTCTGGTGATGTCATCGTGAAATTGTCGAGTTTTGTAAGTAGGGGAGGAACAGATGGTTTGAGCTGTTCCACCCCGTTCAGTACCTGGGTTTCCATAGAAATTCCAGCAAGGCCAGTCCCCCCCCACCCTGTAGAACACCTGGATCCCTTGTCCCACTGATGTCAGGAGGGCACTGGAGGGTATCCTGAATCCCTTATCCCCAGAGCTGGTCCCCAGCAGCCACACCACAACCCCATGTGTCCCCCTGTGCCCTCCAACACTGCCCAGCTCCACACAGGGCCCTGCAGTTCCTCTCCAGCTGGGAAACAGAACCTTGCTGGCAATTGAGTATTCCCAAAGATCCACCCCGATTTCCAGCAGGAAGCTGAGGAGAGAGGAGAACCTGGAAGGGAACCGGCGCCAGTCCAGTCCTGCTGTGCCCCGGGTTCTGCGGAACCATCGCTGGCCCGGTTGCCATGGCGGCGTCACCGCGATGGAGCGTGGATGGAGCTCCATGGATCGCTCAAATGGATCAAAAGAGGACTTCTAGGACCTCACACTGCACAGCCCAAAGGGGTTTTCACACCCCAAAACCAGCCCCGACACCTCCCTGGCTGTGTGYCCACAGCAAAGAGAATYCCTCATTTGGGATTGACCCAGAACRTGGRATTTGCAGGCTCCTGCTCCAGCAGGAGCAGCCAGGGGTTCACCATCCCCAGCAGTGCTTCGGGATCATGGCTGCTGCTCCCTCCCCATCCTTCCCAGCAGTTTTCTGGGTTTCCAGCCTGGTTTTTATCTGTTTTTTTCTGTTTGACTCATGAGGAGACCATCACCACACCACACACACCACTGCTGCTGGCATCCAGAGCAGCAACGATTGGCACTGCCAAGCTGGGGGAGGATGCTGGGGACAGGGACCAGTTAGGTGACAGATTAGGGGATGGATTCATGCCTGCTTCTCTCCTTTCCATGCAGGRAAACACACRGGAGCTGGGAACTGAGCCATAAGARCCACGATAATCYATTCCCTGTAAGCTGGAACAYGTGGCCGCTCCTTCCCAAACTCTGCAAACTCTGAGATCCCTGGGGAGAAAGGAGCACAGGGGCTGCTTTTTGTAGSCCTGGAATTGCTTACTCAGCCGAGGGATGGAGGGGAACAGAGCAGMGCTGAAGGTGAGAGAAGGGCAGCCTGCCCCAGTTTGCAGGACTGCGGCGAGTTCAAAGCCACCAGCAAAATCCCCGAGCAGAGCGTTGGCACCTCCCCGTTATCCCAGAGACTTTGATGAGCTAACAGCCCAGCCACCGAGTTCCAGGCTAATTCCCAGCCAGACAGGCTCTGAGGAGGCATTTAATTGGAAATCATATTCACGGCAGAGAGCAGAATGTGGTGTTTGATAAGAAATATCACAACCCAGGGCAGAGCCGTGCTCGGAAGGCGCCGGAGACTGAGGATCCCACCAGGGCTGGGGGAAGCTCCCGGGGTTTTTTGTGCTGTTCCTGCGTGATCAACAGCTCTGTGGGATAATAAACACGACCTCTCCAAGGGGGAGGTTGTCACTCAGCCCTGGTAGCCCTGGCAGTGTCACTCTGCACATCCCTTCTCCTCACCCCCAGCAAAAACAGGGCCAAACCCCCAGTTCTCAGTAAAGATAGAGATGAGGGGTGAACATTATTCTTCCAGAAACAATTCCCCCCCAAAATCTTGTTTTCCCTTGGCTTGGACTAGCCCAGCCTTAAAATACAGCCTGTATTGTCTGTCCCTTTTGTGWTCTCCTCCATGGACCAACTCTTGATTGTTTAGCAATGAACAAGTGAGTAAATTAAACCATTCAGGAGGGCTCTGATTTGGTGGAGGCTGTGTCTGTCTCCCTCATTGCAGAAGCACTGATTTGACTGAAGAGGACTCTTTTCACCCAAACAATGCCCARCTGTCAGACTTGCTCTCAGCGAGGGTGACTTCATTGTCTGGAAGGACTTTTCAGCAGATCAGTATTCCAAGCAGGATGAGATTGTCCTTAACATCTGAATCTGAAAGGTCTCCCAACTTCTGGGAGAAACAGAAGAAAAGTGACTTTGTGTGCAATTTTCAACTTAACCCATCTTCCCTGATTTAACAAGTACATTTAGCACTGATTGACACAGAGAAATTATTCCTTCAGCAGCAGATCTGGGGGCTAATTAAAACTCCTTATACTATTTTAAGGGATGGATTCTGATTTTTTTTTTCTGAAAAGCGTAAACTTTTGCTGATTCTAGCAATGGTTTCCCTGCTTCACCAGGTCCAGTTCACAGGGGCTGCAGGGGATGGTCAGAGCTGGGAGCATCTCATCAACATCAAACAAAATCYCTGGGGCGAGCTGGAGAATCGGGCCCATATTTTCATGCAAATTTAATACATTCATGTTACTTAATGCCTATTTATAATAAATCCAGAACTTAATTCTACTTAACCCGTCTTTAGTGTTTGACACATGAAATCGGTGAGTCAGAGGGCTATATATGGAACTGTCAAAACTTTCTTTTTTCCCTCCTCTAAAAGCCTGGATTAAATCATAATCAAACTCCCAGCAGCAGCRCTGGGATGAGCAGGAAGATGCTGACAACTGCTAAGGCAGCTGGTGGTGGGGAAAGATCTTCTCAGGCAACAAATGGATGGCTGAAACCTCACAGAGAAGGCTCTGAGTTCAGAGACACGCTGCATCCTTTGCTGAAATTATAAAAACAGAATGGTTTTRGCTGGAAGGGGTTTTAAAGATCATCCAGTTCCACCTCCTGCCATGGGCAGGGACATCTTCCACTGTCCCAGKGTGCTCCAAGCCWCATCCAGCCKGGCCTTGGACACTKCCAGAGATCCAGGGGCAGCCACAGCTTTTCTGRKCAYCCTGTGCCAGGGCCTCACCACTCTCYGAGTAAAGAATTTCTTCCTGACATCAAATCTAATCTCTCCTTTTTCAGTTTAATATCATTTTCCCTTGTCTTATCACCATCTGCCTGTGGGCCTGGCAGGATCCCTTGGCCTTGTGGTGTCACCAGACCAAGACCTGGCATGTGAATGCTGTCCCCTGAGCACATTTTCTACCCAAGATTTTTATTCCTTTCCTCTGATGAATGTTATCTTCCCATGTGCATGAATCASCTTTCAAACAGTTTTGGCCCAAAACCATCACCAACAAACGGAGAGTTGCAGACCTGCAGCTTTTTGCAGCTGGCTTGAGTTCTGCTCTGTGTCTCTTACAGAAAAGATTTCATTTCAAATCCACCCTGCCTAGTGCTCAAATGCTGATCTGCTTTCTCCCCGCATAAGATCACTTCTGGGTGGAGTAGRGACACCTCTGTGCAGGGAAATGGCTTCAAACTTTTAAGAGTAATTGGTAGAAGTAAGGGGAGAGGAGGCTGCTGGCTGCCTCCTCGATTACAGCTGTAATTTCTCCACACTCCAAGAGGAAATTGTCATTGTAATTTCCTGCAGATGGTTTTCTTCTGAACTGCTGACACCAAGTGAAATGTGATTTCCAGCAGTGCACTGTCTCCTCCGTGGCTTTGCTGGGTATTATTTCAAGCGTCACTGCAGGAGCAAGTTCCCCAAGCTTTGACTTCAGGAAAGTAAAACTCTCCCACAGAAGGCTCTGCTGCTCCAGCAGAGCCAAATAACGTGGATTTTGTCTGTCTGTGCTGACTCTCACCCACCTTTGGCTGCAGCAGGTACACTCAGCTGAATTACTGTCCAAAGGTTGCTGCCACAGAGGGGGAATGCAGGAGGAAAATAGTCAAGGATGTGCTGAAAGCACAGAAAGAAGAGACTCCAAAAATTTCACCCGCCTGAGGTCAAACCTGGCACGTAACAAGCACAGAGATGCTGCAGGGTGATTTTAGCTGAAGCAATGAACAGGGGACTGGAGGACAGAGCCTTTGCAGAAGCTGCTATCCCACGAGGCTATGTCTGCCCTGGAATGGGGTTCTCTGTGCCAGCTTGGAGTGGTGAGGGCCTGGCACAGAAAAGCTGTGGCTGCCCAATCCCTGGAAGTGTTCCAGGCTGGACAGGGCTTGGAGCAGCTCRGTCTGGTGGAAATGTCCCTGCCCATGGCAGGGGGGTGGAATGGGATGAGTTTTAAGGTCCCTTCCAACCCAAACCATTCTGGGATTCCATGACTTTATTCCTTGCTGTGATTTAGGCACAACTGCACAAAGGGAGTGCTTAACGGGGTTGCTGATCCCTCGAGAGTTTTGGAGGCACCAAACCTGAGCAGGAGGCAGGGTTTTGCTCTGGGATATGAGATGCACCAGCTCTCAAAGCCTGGCTTGGCCATGGCCAAGCCGAGCTAATAAATCCCCACTGTGACCTGCCACAGCCCATCCTTCCCCAGGGAAATCTCTTGGCAAATCCAAACTGGAAACCCTCCGTGCCAGATTGAGCAGGGAGCACCAGGACGAGGGGTGGGAGGGGGTTTGTGGCTGAGGAAGCAGCAGATCACTGGGATGAAAAGGTTGGGAAGGAAATTCCCTTCTCCACAGACTCCAGCGGCTCCGTGCCAGCTCTGGGCAGCACAGGAGAGCACAGCAGGTCCCGCCTGGTTTAGAAGAGCTATTTCCAATTAATCATTCCTGATTACCGTCCCGTGCAGGGCTCCTGCTCAGGACTAAGGACACCTTATTGGCTGAACACACTCTGCAAGTGGCTTAAGGCAACTGAGGATTTGCCTATGTGAGATCACTCAGAGAAACTGTTCTGAATTAACMTTTAAAGGCAATTAATTAAACTGCTGCACGGGTGTTCTGCACCATCTGCATCCCGTTCTTTTCCAAATCAAAGGAAGGCTGCTTGATCTCTGGGTGAGGCACAGGAGGGAAGTATCCTGGGGAGCCCATGAGTCCCAAGACAACTGAAATAAATCTGCCTGGAGGAATTGCACCCCAGAACCAGCCTGGCAGGGGRATGTTGATATGGGCGGTTCCAGAGCTTTCTGTGTGCCCAGTTCTGGCTTTATGGGAGATGTTTGGGCGCTCTCGTTCCCTCCCAACAGCAATCGCAGCGCTGGGAAGAAACGGAGCGCTCCAACTGCTCTGCTCCAGCTCAGTGACGTTAATGCCTGATTAAGTAGGTGACGATACCAGACAGCAAATGCTCAGCCGAGCACGGGCAGAGGACCCAGAGTGGATCAGCAGCAGCCCTGCCCAAGATTAGCCCGGCGGCTGGAGCACAAAGCCGAGGGCACTGCAGCGAGCTGGTCCCTGGGATGAGGCAGAACACAAAGCTCCCTGGAGAGGAGTCAGCYCAGCAAAACCACCAGGAGCCTTTTTGTTTGATTTAGGATGTGTCTCCTTGTAATTAGGCTGGCTTGGCCCTGCTGCTTTCCTGGAGCAGGGTTTCAGACCTGCTCACGCCAGGAATAGCCRCTCTCCCGGCACCACAACCCTGCTCTGGAGCAGGAACAGATTGTTCCAGCAGCCTGGTCCATTTGCCATTCCTGCGAGCTGCCTGGGTTTGCTGTTTATTGCCACTCGCTCGGCAGCTGATC